CAATTTCACCTCAAATTAGTAATGTTCAGATGAAAATACCACACACGAGAAACTTCTAGCGACACCACGCCCACGCAGTGTACGGGGAGGGGGTGAAAAAGGCACTTTTCATCCTTGCCTTTCAAGGGGTATAAGTTGCACTTTATTAAATTCTCATCGGACATTTCTACCACCATATTAAAGAGCATATTAAATATTATCCCCTACTGAACTCCGCCCGAACCAGGTGATCGAGGGAGTCATGTTCAGGTGATCTTCTTAGATATTAGGTCGTGAAAAAATAATGATCGTTTTGAAGCAAATATTTTAAAATATCATACTCGCTTCAAAGTGTTGCTTTTCAATCGAAATAACGACCAAAAGAATCAACACATTTCTGCCAACGAGAAGGCAGTTTAGATATTCCGGCAGCATAAAATTCTGGAGTTCTGGAATCGTTGAATGCCTTTTCTACGTCGTCTTGGTTTCGGAAGCATTTCTCGCGTAAGAAAATTTCGAGATGCTTTGAAAAAGTGATAATCCGTAGGGGAAAGGTCTGGTGAGTATGGAGGATGGTCGAGAGTTTCATATCCCAACTCCATCAGTTTTTTTGTTGTCATCAATGAAACATGCGGTCGGGCGTTGTCATGGAGTAGGATCGCGCCCTTTCTGTTGATTAATGCCGGCTGAATCCGATGCAATTTTTGGTGCATTTTTTCGATTTCCTCACAGTACTTCTCCGCTGTGATGGTTTCTCCTGGAGCCAGGAAGCTGTGGTGGATCAAACCGGCTGTAGACCACCAAACAGTCACCATGACCTTTTTTTGGTGCAACTCCGGCTTTGGAAAATGTTTAGGAGCTTCGTCGTGATCCAACCACTGTCCTGACCGTCGTCTATTGTCGTATTGAATCCATTTTTCGTCACACGTCACAATGCGTTGCAGAAAAGGATCGTTTTTGTTCCGCAAAAGATGAGACGAACAGACTTCGAGACGACGAGATTGCTGGTGCTCAGTCAACTCATGCGGGATCCACTTGTCAAGTTTTTTTACCTTCCCAATTTTCTTCAAATGACGTGCTACAGTTCCGAAGTCAACTCCCAGCTCTTCAGCAATTTCCGTTGTAGATGGGTCCCTCTTGGATTAGCTTCTATCTTCGGTCGGTCGTCTTTGACTTCCGATGGCCGACCGCGTCCCTCCTTGATCTTCCAGAATGAAGTCTCCATTTCGGAATTTGTCGAACCACCTACGCGTGGTGCGCTCATTTGTAGTACCTTCGCCCCATGCGTTGGTGATATTCCTAGCTGCTTCCGCAGCATTACGGCCGAGTTTGTACTCGTGAAGCATGATGAGTCGGATTTCGCGTCTTGACAACATCTTCGCGGGTGACCCAAAATCGTAGAAGAAATGGTGGCAGAGAAATGGGAAAAAAATTTGTACGATAGCTTGAAAAATGTGCTTCCGAACGATATATTAAATTACTATATTTGCCTAAGTTTTCAATGAATGATCAGTGGAACATAGCAGGTGCGAAAATGGTCACTATTTTTGCCACAACCTCATATTTTATCTTCACCAGGTTCTCAGCGCCCTTCCATTCCAAGTAGGCGGGACTTTTCCCAACGCCAGCGCTCACCTTCAGTCCGGGTCCACGAAGAAAATATTGGTCTTTCCATTCCAGGTACGTCCGGTCCATACCATCAACCCGCGCCTTGGCGACTGCGGTGAAGATGATGTCCTAGACCGTAGCGACGTTGTCGGAGCTGCTCGATGTTGGAGGTCTTCCAGATCGAGAGTACTGGTCTCCAGGTAGCTATCCATGGGTGACTCCATACTAGAAGTTTCGCAGCTGTTTGGAGGTGACATGAATTCCAAAGGGTCAGGCTGCGACTGGAGATGACTTCATATTTTGGTGTACATGAAGGTGATGGGCGAGAGCCAGCTCCTGCTTATAGAGGAACATCTTGGGTATCTTCCGCCCTGGTACTCGTATCCACGTCTTCTCTCTGGGCTGCGAAAACTTTGCTGATATGTGACTCGGTCGAAGTGACTTTTTTTGCCCCCCCCCCCCCTGTATGTAAACCTCTTGAGCTGCACGACATTCCCTTCTCGTCAATGTCTTGGTTTACCCAGAACATATCGGAACAAACGAATTAATTACAAATTTAATTCCATTTATTGCACATGAAATAGTGAACATAAAATAAACACTGACTATTCAAATATACACTGCATACACATACTTTATGTACAGAACTAAAGCGAAAAACGAAATAATGGAAAAATAGCATGCAGTACCCACAAATTATTTCTACCAGCGAAACTAACCACCTGAGCAGTAACCGTGGAAAATATCTAGGTTCTATGAACCGTACTAAGATTTACTAGGTAAGGGAGGCCATTATAGGGATATGCTTTATCTGCGCTTGACCATAGATACGCTTTGGCCCTTCGATACGCTTTAGCACTTCCACGGATAAATGACCCTTGTCATCAAGCTGAGTTCGAATTGCCTCCAGGTCGACATTCTCAGGCAGCAACCACTTACGGGTGAATGACCTGGAACAAGCAAAACGATCAATATCTATCTGATGCACATCTGCCCAATGAATTAGAAGGCAGGACTTACCTATGCATGGCGTTGCCTTCGATGGTCAACTCACGCCCCTCCAAGTGCACATTCAACTCCTCTGGACGAAACTGCGATACATCCAATGAAACGGCGAACTTCTTCTCGTCATTCACAAGCTGCAATTACTATCGATTTTGCATTTGTAGCTGGCCAAGGGTTACAAGGGCATATCCAGAAAAAGGACCCATAAACGTCCTGTATAGAATGACATACCTGATAGGTTTCTTTTGCTACGTGAAGCATGGAATGGTCAGCTTCTCTCCAATATGGGAAGATGCTTCGCTCAAAATGATCCATATCCCTCCTAGTATCGTATATCATATGGTCCATGAAACGATCCCTTGGCCAGAAATCACGGTCCATGAAACGATCCCTTGGCCAGAAAACACGGTCCATAAAGCGATCCACTGACCACGAACGCATTATTGATTTATCGATTGAAGGTTCACTGGAACACTCCATTAATCAATTGGCTCCAATCCAAATGTGTAGCCGAGCGACTGGTGAACGAGTGACGCGATAGGGTTCAAATCACGGAATACAACAATGGAAACATAGATGCGTAGACACGGATTCATCGAAATCTGTTAATAAAAGACCTGAAGAAAAGGGAATTCGAACATTTACCAGTCCCGTTTTCTGAAGTTTTTTAGATATTCGGCACTTGAGACAGAAGCGGTTATCAAAACCCTGGGCAACCAGGGTATTCCTACTCAGTACATCAAGATTCTTCGTGAGCTCTACAGCCTTAACGACCCTTATAGGTGACGCAAAGCAGACAGGCCGCAACGCCGCTGGCAGCAGAGGTGGCATCGCCCCAAAAGGTTAGACCTATCATATCTCGAGATTTAATCTCAATTCTTCTCAAAAGAGGTCCGGCAGATTCGGGGGAAGACCAGGAGTTCGCTTCCGAGTAGGCTTGAGAGGCTTGACGCTGGCGCTGCTAAATGCGTAACGAAGCAAACCTATTATTTTTAACTGCACGAGTTGAAGAAAATTTTCTGGTTACGCTTCTCTGAACCTCTGCAACGAAAACAGGAAGATCGGGAGTAAGAAGGGGGAAAACATGAAAGATGAAACAAAGTGGCAATAGGTGACTCTACGTTTGACTATTCGCCGCCTTCTCATCACGCTGGTAACCCCGTTCCTCTTAGACTCATTGTTAGCCCAAAAAAGCACAGTTGACCAAATCCTCATAACCATTTCTCCCCGCCCAGCTCAACTACTTGCCGCTGCACTTTGATCCCAAAACACGATAATCACACCCGTTTGGCCGAAAGAACATCTGGCACGTCTGTTGTGCGGCGTGCCTGCCGCCAAACCCCTAAATCAGGCTTTCCTTCAATATTTGTATTCAGAGAATGAAACTCTCCTTAGATATCGACATCTGCAGCATGGGAGTGATATAGGTCGTCAGGGAGGACAATTCAACTCCTTGTGTGAAGCTGGCAATGCTAAAAGGAAATGAGAAATTTGGCCTCAAAAAGTGGTGGGAAAGAGCTTCACAGTGGATGAAGGGTTGATTTCTCTTGAAAGTACTTAAAGACACATAGTACGCTCATACACATTGAGGGTGTATGAGACTATCAGCCCCCCAGATGTCGATGTGTCGTGGTCCCCCCGCCCAAACATGCCCAGGAATGGAGATACAGGGCCGTGAAACACGCTAATTCTTCCATGCTCCGCCCACTGCCTTTTTACGGCGCAGATCTTCCCGGCGGTCTCATCAACATCCGTTGCAAGACGGCGCCTGCGCAGTGCGGCTCCTGGCACTTCGTGCCAAGTCCTTTAATTGCGCTCTCAAATAGCAAGGTAAAACGCAATTTCCTGATGCGGATAACATTGGAGGTGCTACAAAATAAGAGCAGAAGATGATGACGAGGGTCAGAACTTAAAAGCAACTCGGCTGCATCTGATATCCATCAGGCCGCGCATTCCCAAAAATGAAAAAAAAAAAGCCCAAGCGTCCCACTCGTTTGTTCTAAGTATTTCTATGGCTTTGGCGCCGGATCGTAGAAATTTACAGGCCAGTTTATCTAATTTGCCTTTCCTTGATTTTTTCATTTTTGTTTTGTTTACATTTACATCGTTGTGCTTCATTTCTAGAATGTGTCATCTTCACCCATCCTCTGTACATGGATTCTTTAAGCATGAGCAACACCCTTAAATTTTATTACGCGATACGAAATTGGCGTTTTGCATTGTATCAAACTAACAGATATCGCCGTTTTTTAGTTTTTATTTCATGCTTTCATGAAATACGTGGCCTCCGAGGGATGTTGCAGAAGTGGCACAGTCGCTTTTAGGTTCTGACCCTCGTCATCATCTTCTGCTCTTATTTTGTAGCACCTCCAATGTTATCGCGCATGGCGAGAGAGAGTGTGGTGGTCCGTAGTGTGAGCGCATTAAGGACTTGGCAAAGTGCCAAGGAGCCGCACGCGACAGGCGCGCTTGCAACGGATGTTATGAACGGCGGGAATCTGCGCCGTAAAAAGGCAGTGGGCGGAGCATGGAAGAATTAGCGTGTTTCACGGCCCTGTATCTCCATTCCTGGGCATGTTTGGGGGGGGACCACGACACATCGACATCTGGGGGCTGATAGTCTCATACACCCTCAATTATGTATGAGCGTACTATGTGTCTTTAAGCCGAATCACACGCACCGGCTTGACCTAGGAACCCCGGTTCATGAGTCCTCAGGCCACCTGTGAAAGTGGACCCGTCAAAAAGCATGATAAAGATTTCGGAACCTAATATCGCAAGGGCGAAAATTAGCTCACATGAAACCCAAAAAGCTAGGTGTTGCGATATCTTTGGGGCGACGCAAGTAAGCAAATAGTTGAGAAGGATGGTGATGATACGTGATACGTTACCAATAAATGATATAATTCGGGAAATGTTTATAGACAGGCTCTGGTCTCTCTCAAGCGTTGAATTTTCTGTCGGGTAGTAGAGTGTTTCAGTTTGTGTAGTTTGTGGGATTGCTAATAAGAAACAATTGATAGAAAAGGCAGAGGAAGAAATGTCAGAATGGTGTTATTCCACATGAAATCGGCGAACTGTAGCGGGAAAGATGCAAGCGCTACCGGTACACGTGGACCTAATCAAAACCTGATAGTGGCAGCACAAGAAGCTGCTTATATAGCCCCGTTAGAGCTTACAAAACGTTTCGCTATCTCCGTAACCACTCCGTGCCCCCCACCGACGCGATAGCACGAGGGGTGGGGCAGGAAGGTTCGCCAAAGTTTCGGAGTAATCTCTTCGAAACCAATATAAGTGGCCTGCGTGGATGGTGACTCCAGTCATTCGAGTCTGACTTTTCTGAGCTTGAACGATGGCTATCTACGTTCTTCGCAACGCTCGTCTACCAGGTGTACAAGGTCTTCAGCGAATTTGACGATCACCTCAGCGCAGGTCCTTGGTGAGACCACCTGCTTCTTCCCCAGCAAGGGGGAAGAAGGAAAAGAAAGCCGTTATGGGTCAAATGGGATAGGTACTTCATAGTTTCATGGGCACTCTGCCTCTTTTACCATATTCATCATTTTCAAAGAGAATCTTCACAGGTTTCCGATGACGGGTCGAAGTTTACATTCGCTCTGAATGTTTCGAAATTCGGACCAGATGAACTCAAAGTGAACATTAATGGCCGAACCCTAACCGTAGAGGGTAAACAAGAAGTCAAAGAGGACTCGAGTTACACATCGTTCAGGTAACCCTTGGTCTCATATCTCCGGATCCCTCTGATATTGCGATAGACTGAAATTGTTATTTTACAGATCATTCCTTCGTCAATGGACCCTTCCAGAAGGAGTTGGCGCAGAGCAGATAGGATCCAGCCTTACCGACGAGGTCAGCTGGCCATCGAGTTACCAAAGCTCAAAGCGGCCATCTGCTCTGGGAGTCACTACGCCTTTGACTTCCATCCCGAACCGTAGGGTCTGCACATCCCGCGGAACCGTCATTTCTCGCTGGGCATTAAAGAAGGTACTGCTGAGCGTTAGTTCTATCTGGTCGTCGATTTCGGTATTTTTGCAGTTTCTGCATTTCATCCATTCCCATAGATTCGCCATCTCTTCGAAGTCGTCGTCTACGAAGGCGGTCCAATAGCTTGAGGAAAGTGCATGGTCGAAGCTTTTACATCTAGCTCTTTATGAATTCTAATCACCTGTATCACCTGTGCTCCCGTTGATCATCGAGTTCCTCGAGCGGGCGCCAGTAACGTCTCCATTCGTCCCTGCAACGTGCAAGAGTTGCCCAATGAACTCTCTCTGCTCGAGGGACACGATGAACTTCATACCATTCGTTCAGAGCTTTCACGAAGAAGTCTGACCATCGCATAGGCGGTCGTCCAGGCGTTCGCTTGACATCCCGTGGAATCCAGTCGGTGATCGCTCTGGTCCAGCGGTCGTCCTCGAAACGCATGACGTGTCCGGCCCACCTGATCTTCGAAACCTTGGCAAATGCGGCGGCGTCTCTGATCTTCGATCGTTGGCGGAGTGCGGAGCTCCGGATTCCCTCTCTCACTTGCGTGTAGCGGGAAACTCCGAGCATCGCCCTTTCGATGGCGCGTTGAATAACGCCGACCGCATGCTCATCCTGCTTTCGTAGAGTCCAAGTCTCTGAGGCGTACGTCAAGGCAGGAAGGACCGCGGAATCGAAGAGGTGGGCACGGAGCTTGGTGTTCTTCGTCTTCTTCGCTACTCCCTCGATGTTCTTGAAGGCTTCACAAGCCGCTCGCTTCCTCCTAGGCGGGTCATATGAAAAATTTTCCCTACAGCAGGATGTGCCCGCT